GGGTAAAAGGGAAATGGAAAATAATGATACGTCGAAACACACTTTTTTTTTTCTTTTTTATTGAAATATTTCTTGCCATTTACGAATTCGGTAATTACTTCAGGTCTGGAGTTACGAAACCCGGCATGAATTTCATTACACGGAGAGCCGAGCTTCACCGCGCAGAATTTTCTGCAGGAGTAGAAGGAAAATGGAAATTAACGATACGTCGCGTCACACCTTTTTTGTTTTCTTTTTATTGAAATATTGATTGCCATTTACGAATTCGCAACGGCCTTCAGGTACGTCAAGGGGTGCATAATTACTTAGACCGGTAATTCCGCTCGCGCGTAACAATGCCTTTTTCCGATGGAAGCCAAGGAGCGTTCGATGATTGTTTTCATAATTCCGCGGCGGGAATATCGGTCTCTGTTGTTCGGCAAGGCTTCCAAGTCTCTTTCGGCACGACTTTGCGACGAATGTTTTAAGAGCTCTTCGTAGAAGTCTACCGGAATATACGTCAATTAGTAATCTGCGGAAGGTCGTTTTTAATTAGATCGTACTACGCATCGCGCACTTTGTTGGAGTCGCATCGGACGCGTCGCGGCGGTGCGTCAGTCAATGGGAATACCGATGATAAGGCTCGATTGTAATCAGCTGATGAGGGGCATCGGCTTTCCCGTCATTTCAGCGATTATTCTCGTTCGAGAGATCGAACGTTAATTAGGGCAGAAATTAATCCACGCAGAATTAACGTCTGCTAAAATGTCTCTGCATTTCTAGAAATCTCACCGCTCTGTGATAATCGAGATTCCGTGATAACGGTGATGAAATTTCTTCGTTGTCAGCTGATTAGGCGGCTTTCCGATAAGTCGAACGTGCCATGGATTAGAAGCAAGGTGAATCGAAGTTTGAAAAATTTGATAGGAAATTATCATTTAATGGTAGGGTCTCGGTTTGAAAGTGGCATAGGTGTTCCTCGGATATCAAATAATTTGACACATCTGATCTGGCGGTGAAAATACTTTTTTTTATCATTGTTACAAATTTATTCCCTACATTCATACGATTCAACAATTGCAATTATTTTTGCTCTGTTAGAGGAATTATTACTGCGAAGATTTTATCGGCAGTTCTTTGCTGACAGGGCGAATGTCTTCTTCCTTTCTGAATTGTAAATTAGTATTTAGCGCAAAACTCTGCCATGTTTCTGGATCGAGGGTTCATTAAATTAGGAGTAAGTTGAGAAAAATCCAAGGTAAATTGTCGCAAACAAAATGGCGACTCTTCGACCTGGCGGAGGCGTCCTTTGAAGTTCGGGATTCCAGGCTGCAGGAGGACGGGAGTCTAGCTCCCCTACAAAAGGAATACGATTGACAAGACAATGAAATCATTATGCAGCAACGAGACCTTGGACTCGTGTTTATCATTATTATTTTAACTTATTTATATTCTCAAGACACGTGCCACAGAGTCCCGGGGATTCACAGACGAGAGAGAATTCCCTCGTTTTCGTTATTATATCTCGTCTTTGAAACGAGATGAACGGTCACTTATCACAAGTGGCAGTAGTCATCTTGGCCCTTTTAACGATACGGAATGGTTTTCTTCTTCTCGGGAGGGAAACATTTTTAATATTCCTTGATTTCATACGTGCAGAAAAATATTCGATTGAATCGATACAATTTTTCTTGGTTAATGACTTTTAGTCGATTACGACAATTATTGTAATAGGTCACACCAAATAAGGTAAATCGCTACATTTAATCAAAATACTTGGTTTATATGCTAAAATATTTTTCAGAGTTTAAAATACAATTTAACCCAAACATTTTAGTTGATCGAAGCAAACTAATTTGATCGAACAATCTAAAGTTCGGTTCACTCGATCGGAACGTTTCCTAAAGTGAAATAAGTGCAGTCAAAGGATTTCATTCAATGAATCAAATTTGTTTTCTGTGTGTAGACGCGAACGGGGAAAAAAAAATATCTTGAGTCGGTTTCGACACATGGTGAAAGTTCAGAAATCCTGACCCAGTCGGATGGCGACCATGACTGATATGGATGCAAGTCCTTGTAAGTGCAAGACGTGCAATGCGCCTTGCAATGTGTTACATGAAGTCGAGGCACAATGAACTATTTAAATATCTGAATTACGCCGCTTGGTGAACTCCTTTATCCCCATGTATTACTAATGGTAATTAAACCGAGTAACGGGATACTTAATTAACTGCCAACGGCGTTAATTGCGGATTCGTTTGAACTAGGAATGCAGATTTCGCACCGAATACAATTGCCATTAGATCGCTACTTGCCTAGCGTGGCAATTAATTACAATCTTAAATGGGAACTCATTTTCAACTGTGTCGCCAGTAAAAATTCCTGTACGCGAAAAAGTTCACTGTGTATTTAAAAATTCGCTTTAAATAAAATATAACTATCAAGTAAACTGTAAAAATCATTGCGTAATTGTTGTTCGATTGTTTCAACATTGCGCTGAAGTGTGCCACTTATCATCTGCTGGTTACCAAACTCGTTGAACAGTTGATGTTGATAACCACTGCTCGGGAATAAATGAAAGACCTTCATAGCACTTAGGTGCATCGAACGACGAACAAGAACAAGATCCGGCAGAATGCTCGATTTACGATTGAAACTACTGGAGCAAATCTTTACTGAACAATTCTATCCGTACAAAGTATCCTTAAAAAAAAAATCGTTACCGCGTGAAATTGGCAGTTCTTTCTTCCGTGCATGTTGAATATACACAGACAAGGGAAATTGGTTAATTGAATAAAATCGTTATCGCATTGATTCAACCTAATATTTTTTTTAATAAATATTTTTTTTATATCAACGTGGGCTGCCTCGGATAAGTCAGATTTTGTATACAATAATTTTCTCGCGGGTATGGGTGTTATTGCAGGGATATGAAATATCGGTGGGATAGCTTCGTTCTTCAGAGCCCTTGCTTGCCGGAGTAACACTCATCGGAGAAAATGATGGCAGTTTCTGTACTTTGGGCAGCTCCCGAGTTTGTATACGTGCAAATAAACCTACGAACGAGGGTGAAGTCTGGTAGTTCAAGATCCCCAGACTGCTCCGAATGCAAAATTCAAAGGCACGAACTCTCCGCTTCTTCGTGCCGGCCAATGTCGACTAGTCTACAACGTTCTATAGACTTAATCCACCTTGAAGCCTCGTTTTATTCTTAATTCTAATCTACCGCTTCGGCTTTTACGCCTTCACCGAGCAACTCGGACACGGAACGACTTGATCGATTTCGTTCGATTAAGAGTCAAATTAAATTCCCACGGACCGGATCTCCCCTGCTCCTATTAACAATATTTCTACCACCTACGAAAGTATAAGAGAGGAAAAGTTAAATCAAATGTCCTTGATTTCCCTTTTTCTCTTTTCCCTCATCAAGGGCCTCGCGCCTAGATCGAGGAAAAAAAAATTCGCCTCGATGTTCTGTACCCGTGTAATAAAATAAAATTAAGAAAACCTCAATTTCAAATATTGTAATTGTATGACATCTTATGTATATGGCGCAGGGAATTACACTCTTTTGGTCACAAAGAATTTTATTCGTTTTGACGTCATCTGAGTTCGGGTAACATGGTTGACAACGTGTTAAAGGGTAAGCTTACTCTTCCAGTCTGAAGTTTAGAGCGACTGGACCGACGTATAATTCAGAGACACGATATACATCCCTCCGTTCGTGCCGGCCAATATGGAATCGTCCACGCCACCCTGCGGACTTAATCCTTGCCGTAAAATCCGAGTCCCGTCCAGAGGACGGACAGCTTTATGTCGGCCATCATTCACAGGCTTCGACCCTGAGGACGATCGCGTCTTTCGTGCTTCGAATCGCGCGACCTCGAAGAACGACTTCGGAGGGCGTATTCTATTCAAGGTACCACGCGGTTCATCGTCCACCGTGTGCCTCCTCTAAATTCCTACAAACCCATGGACCAAACTGCAAATTCGCATTTTTACGAAGATACAATCTCATGGCAGGGACCGCAATAAAGGACATTTACAAAACGCGATATCGTATATGTGTTGGCCCATAAATTCGTTATATTAAAACATTAATAATGTTATCATATTCTTTTCAAATGAGGGATCGATCTCGCCATCAAGCGGATACGTTAGAAACTTTATTGATAAAATGAGGGAAACCCTTCAATTGATTGAAGCAAGCTAGTTTAGTCAAGTAAACTAAAATTCGGTTCGCTCGGTCGAAACAGTTTCTAAAATGAGCCAATTGCAGTCAAACTTTTGTTAAATGCTTGTTAAATGCAGTCAAGATTTTGTTAAATGAATCGAATATTCTTCTGCGGGCGGACATTAGGTCAGATTGGTCAATCGACTCGCGTCGAAGGAATCGCTTGAGAGCAGATTAAGAAATGCAGGGCTTAACGGCGGTGATTAATGGCGATCTCGGCGGTCTCTGGACGAGAAAGTCGCTCTTGCTGCGATCTCGTGATCGGAAAGCGGCGAATGCTTCCGTCTTTCCTCCGGCGAGTTGGTTGGCTTTCGAGGGAATCTCGGCGAGAACAACCTCGAAAGTAAACGTCGGCGAATAAACGCCAACCAGCCGCCTCTCTTTTGGGAGATGCACAAAGTACAATGGGAATTCCCCCTTTAGTCTATCTGCAACTTTTTTTTTATATACAACTAAAGGAATAATAGTAACTAAAGAATGTCCCAACACCCATGAAATTTCATCTGTTCAACTTGTCCATGAACCTGTTTTTAATTTTGTATAAAAAAAATAAATAAATTTCACGGACGTGTCAGGATCTTATTCGGGGCTTTAGTATTCAGGTGTTAAGATGTCCGACAAATCGTCACACACAGTTCGTTTCAAGGTATCACAACCGATTGCGCCCTAAAATGCCACTTCCATGTCACCTTAATTTCACGAAATATTTGAAAGCCCTTAGAAATGAATTCCCATCGAAACTGATTTAACAATTGTTAACTGAACCCAACCCTTTTCTGTATTCCAGCCTATGGTTCAAGATCCTCAAATAGCTCAGGCGCAGAACAGGGGCGAGATCGGTCGGAGGCCGAGTGCAAGAAACGCCGCGTGAAGGTCCGCCACGTTTGGTTTAGGTTCGACGTGCTCCCAAGGCCTTCAAAACGTCGACTCCGTCGGTGATCAAGTTATCCGGGGGTGGGACAGGCGGAAGTGGGGAGCAAGGGTCCCCAGGTCCTGGCCCACCTCCTGCGTCGGCGCCGCCAGGTGCGAAGGTCGACCATGGATCGGAGGAGGCAGCGCCCGGACCGGAGGGGGTGTCCGGGTTGGCCCCAGGTGCGGAGACCACCATGAGCTTCGTCCTCCAGGTGGGCCCCGTGGAGTCCACGGGATCCGAGTCGTCCTCGGGGTCCCTGGACGCGGGCGAAGTCCCAGCGACCGGCCCGTCATCGGCGACTTCGGCGAAGACCCTCACCTTGGGCAACGCCGGTCCCAGGACGCCGGGCCTGCAGAGCTCGGCGAGGGGGCTGGTGGCGTCCTCGGGGTCCTCCTCGATGACCACCATCGTCAAACCCGTCACCGTGACCTACCCCGTCAACAAGGCCGGTAGGGACGCCCAAAGGGCGACCTCGACGAATGCCACCCAGGTGCTGACGACGCGGACCGTCGTCTCGCAGAAGCTGCCCGGATCCGGATACACGGTGCAGAGCGGCGTGCAGGGGGTGCAGGGTGTCTCCATCAAGGGCGCCCTTGGCAGCTCCGGCAACCAGATGAACGCTCAATTGTATCCCTTGCAGAACTCCTGTCCGCAGAGCGCCGGCCAGTCGGCGAAGATGCAGGTGGTCGCCGATCTGGGCCAGGGTAAGCAGCAGGTGCAGGGTAGCGTACATCAGAAACTGCAGCAGGCGACGGCGCAGCAGACCCTGGGAGCCGGGGGATCCGTGGTTAAGACCTTGACGGGTACAACGAGCCTGGCTACCGTGCAGAGGGTGCACCTGAAGGCGCAGAACGTGCAGGGGCAAGGCTTGCAGAAGGGGAAGTCGGGGGCCAACGCAGGAACGCAACCGGCTGGGTCGCGGGTGCCCGTCTCGAGGGTGCAGACGGTCCAGAAGTCGCAGATCCTTGCTGCCCAGGGCTCTCAGGTCACGATGAACCAGGTGATGAACAACGCGAGCATGCAGCGGGTGCAACACGTAAACGCGATGCAGAAGGCGCAGTCTGGGAACGGTCTAGGTGGACAGAAATTGCAGCAGGTATTCAACAGTCAGAAATTGCAGCAACAGGTGGGAGGCGGCCCGGGTCATCCGAACCACAAGATGCAGCAGCAACAGCAACAACACTCTGGGAACTGTCAGCAGAACCAACCGTCGATGCAGAAAGTACAAGGGTTGTCTCAGAAGGCGCTGGCCGTCCAGAGGCAGCAATCCGGGGCGATTAACAACGTCCAGAAGTCCGGGAACTCTGTAGCCGGTTTACAGAAGTCACAGGTATCTGGCCAGATCGTCCAGCAACACCAGAATCAGGTTCCATCGCAGCAGGCGCAGAAGATGCACGTGCCGGTGCAGCTGCAGTCCAGCCAGCAACAGAGGCCTCAGAGCACATCCGGTCTGCAGAAGTCCCAGGCTTCGGGAACCCTCAACCCCGGAAAGGCGCAGGCAACCAACGTCTGCAAGAGCAACAGCGTGCCCAACATCGCGAAGTTGCAGCAGAACTCGAACCTATTGGCCGTTGGCAAGCAACAGGTTGTACAATCCCATCAGGTGCAGACTCAGCCGACACCCCAACTGCAGCAACAGTTGATCTCCCACTCGTTGGGTCAGCAGCAGATCGTGCAAAAGCAGCAACAGCAGCAGCCTGGAACCCCGCATTCGCAGGTGCAGCGAAGCCAAAGCGCCAGCAACATCCCCCAGAAAGTTGCCACCGTGACTTCTGGGCCGAACACTCAGAGGTCTCAGGCCACCGGGAACTCGAAGGCGCAACAGCAACAGCACATGGTGCTCAGAGTGGGACCCCAGAAATCCCAGTCTCAGACTTTGGCGCAGGCGAACGTCAAGGTGGCTCAACAGAAGACGGCAAACTCCGTCAAGGCCTCGAATTCCCAGAACAACGTGGCCCTGCACAGGAACGCGAACTCCCAGCCGATCAAGATCGTGCAGCAACATCAGCAGAACGCGGTTGGGCCGCAGAACACGCAGAAGCAACCCGGATGCATCAAGACCATTCCACCCCAGAAATCAAACCAGAGGAATCACTCGCAGAAAGTGGCGGGCATCAAGACGTCCTTGAACACCAACATGAACCCCCTGAAGACGCAAGGTCCCGTCGCAGCCTCACAGAAAAGCAGCATCAAGACGCTTTTACCGCAACAAGCAGGAGGGACCAACATGCTTGTGCATAAGAGTCAACCTGTGAAGATTCAGCAACAGACCGCTCAGCAGAAACAACTCATCATGGCCCCTCAGTATCCCCAGCAGATAAAACCGCAAACGGGACAAATCAAGACTTTGTTCCCCGTCGTTGCTGGGGAACCACGAAGAGACATCGAAATCAAGTGCGTTGGATCGATAGATGTCTCGCTTTGACTTCGAATGCTCTCGGGTAGTTTGTCAGGCCTGAGAATAAGATTACGCAAAATGTCACATTGTCATGTAAAATTGGACATGCTGGACGCAATGTGGAGGCCATTAGAGTGTAAAGTCTCTCCCGGGCTTTCTCATGCCGACGAATATTTACATTTCAATAGCTGTGATTATGTTGCATATGTTATAGCTGCGAATTGAAAACTTGCTGAGAGCATTGGAGGTTAAGGTTTTTCTTAAGGATGGAATTATGTAGTTACTCAATGTTCGGATGATCCATTAATCGTTGCCTCTTGAATGTTTTTATTCTATTATTATTTATAATATTGTTTGGCTTTTTAGGAAGGACATGGAACCTCATCCCTCAAAAGAAGAAGAGTCTCAGCAGACGCCGCTTTCACCTGTACGCAGGATGCCACTTCCTTACGAGGTATTACTCGGTTTGGTCGTTTTGAAAAGATAAAGATAAAATTAAAAAAAAGAAACAAAAGGTAGAACGTAGGTAGGAATGCTTCCATTTTTCTGGTGACGTATTAAATGTACTTTTTTCCCGACTGTCCGCTCTCTTATTCACGGTGATGGTTGTGTGACGTTGCATGGTTTGAAAAACAGCGCACTTGTCTAATTGTAGTGCCTCCAGTTTGTCCTCCAAGACCACAATTACGGAGCTCCACCACCCCGGACACCACCACCATCCTCACCACCTCCGCATCCGAAGCAACAGCCGATTAACGGTGCTGGAAGCTCCACTACGGTCTCCCAACATCCCTTCATATACAGTCAAGGTATGGTATTTAATTAAGCTCCAAATTATACCGTCATTGTGAATTAAAATTAATCCCCGGTAATACTCGGTCTCAAGCTGTGAGCAGCAGTAACATCGAAGATGACGCAGCCAGCGCCATCAGCAGCGAACCGGGTCGGGAAGCCGAGCCCGAAGGCGAGGAAACGGAAACCGCCCCTGAAGGCGAAGGAGATGACGAAGACAGCGTCACCAGGTGTATCTGGTACGGACCATCTCATTTTTCATCCTCTATAGCCCATTTTTTTTGTCCAAATCAAGGAAAAACGGATACAACGTGAAATTTGCAAATATCAACCTCCTAGGTATATGCAAACATAGCGACAATTTCGTCATTATTTAAATTCTTATTTAAATGTTACTTCGTTTCAGTGATTTCGAGCACGACGACGGATACATGATATGCTGCGATCGTTGCCTGTGAGTATTCGAACGTTTTAAAAATGAATCTTTGATTCTTCTTAAGATAAGGGAAGAAGAATGGGGTTCTTACGAGTCCTCTCTTCAGGGTCTGGCAACACGTGGACTGCATGGGCATAGACCGGTCCAACATTCCCGACGAGTACCTCTGCGAGATCTGTCGACCCCGTCGAGTCGACCGACAACGAGCTCGGGCTCTTCAGCTTCGCAAACGCGAGGAGCTCCTCAACTCGGACACGTCCTCCGACACCTCTTCGACCAGCTCCGCCGACACCGACGTCGGGGTCAACTCGACTCAGAAGAAGCGGCCTCTTCAGCAACAGGTGCCCCGACGAAAGTCCGACCCCCCGCCTCAGGTGCGCCGGCTGAATAACAACAACAACAATAACAACAACGTCGCGAAGCGACCTCGTCGAGAGACCCACCCGAGACAGTCGAGTGCAATTCGCAAAAAGGAAACCGTCAAGCGGGGCCCTGGAAAGCGGAAAACGAAGAGGAGGATGAGCCTCGAAGAGAGAGAGGACGATACTCAGGATGCCTGGGGCTCCAACATGGCTCCGCTGAGACAGTGGATCGAGAGATACGAGGAGGCCGTCACCAACCACTACAGCCCTGAACTCAGGGCGAGGATATCCAGCATCAAGGTCAACGGGACCCACGGCGATCTCAGGCAGAGCAACATGAACGCCGTGGCGACCGGGAAATGCAGACTGAACGTGCACAGCAACAACCTTAGAGTACGCACTAAAAAAGGCTCGCTATCGCGGTTAACACTTTACAGCCCGTTTGCGCGTATTTGAGTTTCATTTAATCTGCCGCAAAATGTCTGTGCGTATCACTTCATAGATAAACACATCCAAATATTTTGGATTCGACAAACCCATGTTTATTCTTAGCTGTTTGGGGCCAATGAAACGTTACAAGTACATTTTTGAAACGCTTATAGGTACCGGCAATGAAAGAGTTAATACGTGATGAACATACATAGTGCAGTTGGCATATTGCCCTGTCTTGGAGGGAGTTTTAACTGGAGCTTTAACGGGCTGTAATGTGTTAAATATTAATCCAAATGCGCTAGGTATAATCTTGAATTGATTTTATTCGATATTTTTCAGTTTCTGGTGGCGACGATGTACTTGCCCCCCAACACTCCTGTCGTTGAATTACGCGGAAAGTACATGCTGAGCACGCAGCACAGGCCGTCGCATCCTCAGGGACGACAACACGCTCAGAGGCCTGGACCCTTCGTATTTTTCTACAGGCTCCCACGAGATGGCACGGAGGTGTGCGTCGACACCAGAACCTACGGGAACGACGCCAGATTCGTGCGGCGTAGCTGCAAGCCAAACGCCGAGGTGAAGCACTGCATAGAGAAGGGCACGCTGCACCTGTACATCGTGACGACCACGGCGATAGAGAAAAACGCCGAAATAACGATCCGTCACGAGCAGCATGATCTAATGTTGTCACCTAATCCCGGCTCGCCCCTGGTGCCAGTGGTCTGCGCCTGCAACAACCCGAGGGAATGTCAGATCACCTCGATCGGGCAGCTAGGCAGAAGAGGGAGCAACGGCGCCATCGCCGAAAACGCGGAGTAAGTCAATCTTGTGGTATAGTATAGTACAATGGTAGTAAAGTACATTTTACTGCAGTGGAATCCGTGGTATAGGTCAGTGGTGGTACCGTTCGACCCCAGCCACGCCATCTTGTTCGAATGAAAAAGAAAAAATTGTCTTTCTGTCCTTCAATAGTTTTACAATATCTCTTTTTTTGGTAGATACAAGATTTTATTTTCTATAAAAAAAAAAAAGCGATTAAACTATTTTTTTGATGGCATCAATGTCATTTAATCCTTTAATAAGTATTATTCCTGGTAGTAAAATTGATGACGCGACATCTGTTGCCATTACTGCACTGAAATTCCGTTTTAATATTGCTGAAGTAAGGTGTCTAGTAACATGGAGTTCATTGCTTCTTCTTTCAAACAGCGGTAGGGAGAGAAGACGGCGAGGCAGGAGGAACACAGCTTGCGAAGACAGCGATTCCTTGTCGGCGGTGTCGAACACGAGTACCAACCAGACGACACCGACCTCCACCCCGACGCCAACGGCCCCCGCTCCGAAACGAGCGGTGCCAACTGCAAGCAGCAGCAGCAGCAGTAGCACCACGACAACCGCGACGGCTCGACAGGTGCCGAAGGAGGAGCCCCCCGCACCTCAGCCTCAGCCCCAGGTGTCCCCCGCACTAACTCAGCCACCGCCCCAGGAGACGAAGAAGGACAAGAAGAAGATGACGAGGGAGGAGCGGAAGATGGAGGCGATCATGAAGGCGTTCGAGAGGCTGGAGAAGGCGGAGCAGAGGAAGCAGGAGGTGCAGGCTCGGAACGCGCAGAGGAAGGAATCCGGGGGCACGCACAGCGACAACGACGAGTCCCACGGGATCGCTGGACAACCAAGGGGCAAACAGGGATCCGAGAGGCCGGTCAGACGTAAACGAAGAAAGGGTAGAGCGAGGACGACCAGCAGTTCCCAGTCGCACGGGTCTCGCAGGACCAGGCTCAATTCGGCGGATTCGGACATCTCTTCGGGCGAGGAAAGCGTCTCCATGCAGTCTCCACCCTTGCCCAACCAGGGCTGCTCCACTGTCCGTTCCCTGCCGTACGATACCCGGTTGCAGACGCCGACCAAGGAAGAGACCCAACCAGCCTTGCCGGGAACCGCTGGCCAGTCTGGAATCCCAACGGCGGCTGGCTTGCTTCTAGCCCTGGCGAACTCCAACGCCCCCGGTCCCAACTCGCCGCCTCTTCAGCAACCCACTCCCGTGAAGAGCCCCACCTGCGACAGCGGGGCCAGTAGCAGCTCGCAGAGTTCCACCCCGTCTACTCCATTGTCATCGGCGTGTCTCCTGGTGGCTGCTGCTGTCGGACCTCTCGCGCCTGGATTCAAATTCCCCAAGACCAAGAAGGTCCTCATGAACGAGTGGCTCAAGGAGTCGCCTGATCCTCCCCAGGCTCCGATGCCTCAGATTTCCCCGTTGCCGGCTCTACCTCCGGTTTCTCTGACGAATCCTGTCACTCCTTTGGGAAGAGGGCCTGACTTCATGTCTCCTACCGACTCCTCCCCCGAGTTCCTGGGCCAGAATTACGCTGCCAAGAGCCTAGCCACCCTTGTGCAGGCTGCCAACTCGGTGTCTGGGATCTGTGATTCACCACCACAGAGGAAACAGACCGCTGCTGCCGCTGCTGCTGCTGCTGCTGGGAACTCGAACAGCTCTGGACCCAGTGGATCGGCCAAGAAGAGGTGGCTGAGGCAGGCCATCTCGGAGGAGTGCGACTCGCCGAACAGTAGACCCGAAAGTCCACCAGCTAGCGAGATGGTGGCTCCCCCGAAGAAGAGGAGGACCGCCAGGGAGAGCCTCTCCTCGGATAACTATACACCACCTACCACTCCTACCATGATGCTTCCGGAGTCGGCCAACACCGGGAGGCCCTCTCCTCATCATGAGGTGAGATTATACTTCTTCCTCTATATAAGATTCAGGCAACAATATATATATTTGTTTCAGTCAACTAATCTTTTTTCTCAGTATACATGGGATTAATATCGGAATGGCGAATTTGTGGGCCGCCAGGGTTCATTGGGATAAGATTATGACGAAAAAATTCAATCGATCGCAAATGTTAAATTAGATTGCGAATGAATCATTTTCCTTCATTCTTGGTACTCGGTCATGGTATAAATTATTATATTTCAGGATGAATTTGCCGATCAACCCCATTCGCCTATAGAGCAAGGTGCGATGCAAGGATACGAGTCCGAACCTATGAAGGAAGATGTCAGCTCTGAGTCGGAACCAATGGAAGCAGACGACATCGAAGAAAAAATTAAAATAGAGAGCACTTCTTCGCGGCAGGAACCACTGTGCATAAAGGACGAAAAGATAGACGAAAAGCCATTAATTACTTTGAAGCGAGAGCTCCCATCGCCGATTAAGGATGAGGACGAGTTTAAAGAAGAATTGCCCCTGAAACGACTAAAGGAAAATGTCAAGAGCGAGCCCTTGGTCATAAAAGAAGAGAGCGACACGGAATCCAAGTTATTCGTGAAAACGGATGTTCAGGCGCAGGAAACAAATAGCGATTCTTTATACGCCGAAAGGGAGAAATCGGAGAAGAAAGAAGTCGGGAAAAAGGAGGTAATCGAGCCAGTCATCGAGAAGGGCACGGTGGAAATAGTCGACCAGAACGAACAGGACACGGAAATGGAAGACTTGAGCTCTCCGATCGCAGCTATGGAATCGGACGCCATCTTGAAACAGCGAGTCGCCGAGATGAGACTCGAGTTTGGCGGCAGCATTGCAGAGATCGTCAACATTGCCAGTGAAAACGAGAAGTCCGATGACGATAGGAAGTCCGAAAGCACCAAGGGCGTCGAGGTCAGGTCCGACGACAACATTTCGATCGACGAGTTCGACGTGGAGGCGCAGATGAAGAAGATCACCGGAGACGATGGTAACGATTACAAGGAGAAGGTCGACACCGGGTCGGAGAAGGATAAAAGTATGGACGGAATAGAAGGTCTGATGGAAAGCTCGGGAGAGGACTCGGATTCGGAAGACAAGGACCCGGAAGATCTGCAGGACTGCGAGGCCCCGTTCGACGTGTTTGAATCTCACCCTGAAGAGAGGATATTTAAAGAGTTCGAGCGCAAGCCAGAGGAGCAGGGATTCATGGACGATCTGGAAGCAAACCCCGAGAAGCAGGAGTTTCCAAGCGAGTTCGAGCACAAACAGGAAGAGCCAGAATTCCTGAACGAAGTGGAAGCTAAGCCCGAAGACGAGGAATTCTCGAGCGAGGTCCCTGAGGAGGTGCAGAAGCCCTCGGCGACCGAGCCGCAAAAAGAGGAACCGGTGACGAACGCCCCGACGGTGACCTCCGAAGAGTCCATCATGTTCGAATCGACCTCGTCGAACGTCGACGCCGAGTCCGTGTCCGAGACCCCGAAGATCTTCCACTCCATCCCTCCCCTCAGCGAGAGGATCCGGAAGAAGCCGGAGCAGATCCAGACCCCGAAGACCCCGTTGGTCTTCGAAGCCGCCATCATAGAGTCTACCATAGAATTGGAAGATGGCGAGGCGTCCAAGAACGGGGAAGAGAAGTCCATGCTCTCGTCAGCCTTGAGGGAACTCTTGGAAGCCAAGATCGAGGTCGACAGCCATGAAGAGGAGACTACGAAGAAGGAGAGCGAGCCCGAGGTCAACAGCGAGTCTCCGATGGACCAAGTCAATGAGACTCTTCCGAACAACGCCGTCAAGGTCGAGGAGAATGTCTTCAAGAACACCAGTCGAGTCCTACCGGTCGAGGACAATGTAGGGAAGGAAAGAGGAAAGGAACCTGCACTTAAGGAGTTTAAAAGGTTGAAGGACCCCAGAACTGTCGTTCCTAGTGACTTGCCGGCACCGATCGCTACCAAACCTGACGTACCGCCGCCAGTCAAGCGCAAGGTTAGAACGGTAGGAATGTGGTAGTATATGCCTAGGGCAGAGTGCTTTGTTACTTTCCCTTTCTTATTTAAAGCCTGTTCCTCTCATTTACCGACACTCGTTTCCTCTTTTATTTTGGTTTGCGTTAAGCCGATATGAAGGTACCGTCTGAGGGGTCTCGTTTTTAACCCTTTTAGTGCCGGACAACAATATATCGTATTTTTACAAGTGTTAACGACTTTGGCCGGCACTAAAAGGGTTAAACTTTCCAGGGTGTAACGAATCGTTTGAAATTTTACCACGTGAACATGGAAGCCCTATGAGAAGTCTTAACGTCCGTGAAATTCAATTTTTTATAATAAATCAAAGAACCGTTTGTGAGCAAATTTAAAAGAAATTGAACTTAGTGGGGGTCAAGACCTTTCTAAGGGTGACATTTAGAAAAATTACAAACTATTTGGTACACCCATCTTGGAGAAATGTTTTACAAACTATTGATTCCTTGAATGCTACTTTCACGTCATTTCAAGTATGCGGCTGTTTGATGTTTAGTGCTCGGCATGAGACATGTATTGGCAGTTAATATTTGTGGTGTGCGTTAAGTAGGTGAAATTGATTGGTTCCGTTGCAGGTGCAAGCGACTTGTTTAATAGTTGTGAATGTTTTGTACATGTAATTTACTCGAGGTAGAAAAAAAAAAAAAACATTGGAATTTCAGTCGCTCGTATACCTGATAAATGCAGTCTTATTCGATGATTTTCATATTTTCGTAGAATTTATATAATGAGACAGGAGAAGGGTTGAGTGATTATTTAAATGGGAAACTTAATATGTTTCTGATATCTTTCACTAAGGATCCAATAATGTCAGGTCGGCCATATTGAATTTTGACATCGGAGGCGAAGAAATCGCGAAAAATTCCTAACTCTTTATTTGCGAAATAGATTACATTTTTTTTAACGAAAACCACCGTTTGAAAAAAACTAGATATTTACGAAATGTGCCAGTCGGTCAGTTTATGACGGATCGTGCACGAGATATCGCTCAAACAGCCTGTAGACAAAATTAGGATTCCGTCGCGAGAATCTGACAGTAAACAGAATATTAACTCCTGCACGGATCGTCTAACACACATTTTCTTTCTTTTTTTTTACGTTAGTTGATCGTTACGACTCGCAATTATCAACGAAAATCTTAAAAGCATAGCGAAATACTGGTTGGGAATTTCACCCGATTTTCTCGCCTCTGATGTGAAAATAAAAAATGGCCAACCTGACCTTACAGGACCCTCAATAAAAATACGAATGAAAATTCATGAATCTCTGAAGAAAAAAAAAAAAGTCTTATGAACCTATTTTTCGCGTGGTCCAAAATGTGCGATACAATCCACCGTTCTTCGTTTTAAACTCATTGTTGGGAACGGATTGCTCATCCCTTGCTGTACGGTTTGAAATGTAGAAATTAGTATCGGATATGCTTGCTGGTTCCCGAATTTGAACATCCCTATCCCAACGTCTTATCGTGAATAAATCATGACATAATAGCTGTTTCATTCGACAGTTATCGATATCGGAGTACCGGAAACGCAAGCAACAGTCCTCTGGCACGCCACCGGAGCCAGAAACCCCGACGAACGACACTTCCTCCTCCGAAAAGGGCGCTCTTCGAGGTAGATCGGACAGCGCGAGCAGCGGCACGTCGTCCTTGAGCTCCGACGAAGAAACATCCAAAGTGACCCTGGATCTACCTAGTTTGACAACTTTACCACTTCTCGTTAATAACGAGAACGAGGAGAAAAAAGGTGTTTACCTCTAGTAATATAAAGTAGTTGCCGAACCCACGTTGTGCCTATGCAAAATTAACGGAGGAGCTGTTCCCTTCGGGAACGCATTTTTTTTTCCTCCCTTCACGTAGACGAAGAAGTATTTCTCACTTTCTTGAATATTTTTGCCGGGTTCTAGATTTCCGTTTTCTTTTTTTCTTTTTTTTTCCCCTCTCTGGATGATCGTTAAATTAAGCGCGGGAACAGTTACATATTCCGAAAATGTAGAATCTTAATGCTTAGAAGGCATTCGTTTGGTGCAGGTGGCGAGGAAGGCACGATCGGATGGTCGGCGGCGCCCACGTTGGTAGAACGTCAACGAGAAAATTTAACGGAGAGGCTCAAACGTGAATTCGGACTGTTCCTCAGTGACGATGAAGAGGAGCGGGCCCGGAAGCAAGGTCAGCATTGACGCCTTACTTCCTTTTATTCGGCTCTCATCGTTTATTATACATTCTCTAAACAATCTTAGCCTTCGTATGGTTCGATACTTTTTCCAAATTCCACTGAATGGAACGGCTTCTAAAATTTATTCCGATCTAGAAAAGGCATAGGTAGGGGGAGGGAGGAATCTATGTAGAATGCCGCAATTATAGTTAGGCTATATCAGGTGGAGGAAAGGGCTTAAGGGAGTTGTCTACCACGTCTGTGAAGCACTCGTGCGGAGGTTGCGACATAAACTCTCAGATCGTCCGGACCTTCCTTAGTGCTTCCAAATTCACGTGGTAAAATTTCACGTAATTCGGTACACCCAATTCAGAGAAAAGTTTCATAAACGACCAACCTCTCAGAAGTCACTTCTGTACCGCCTTAACGAGCTGAAGCATCCTTACTCCACAGTTCTTAGTTTAAAGACCGAGTGAAAAGATCTATAAACGTGCAGCTTTTTTGCTCTTGGTTCTAATATCCTTATTGAGCGTGTTACTTGCCGGATTTCAGGTTTAACTGCGGAAGCCATCCCGAAGGCGCGCAAGATCTCATCCCCTCCGCACGCGCCGATTCCCCCAGGACCCACCCAGCTGTACCCGATACCGCAGTTGCCGCCACAGCCGTACATCCCGCCACCAGGATCTGCCCCTCTGCACTACTCGACGTTCCAAAACAAGCCGGTGCAGTACCCGGCCTTCCCGTTGGGGCAATCCCCCCAGCAGCCGGTGTACCTGAACGTGGCTCCTCCGCAAGCGAGCTCGAGCAAGCCGGCGCAGCAGCAGTTCCTGGTGCCGCAGGCGCCCCCAGGCTCCAATCCGTACCCACCCCAGTTCGTGCCGACGTCGCCAGGGGTGCCAGCGACTACGACAAGGTTCCCACCAACGTCTCCGCAGCCAGTCGCACAGATCTTCCCGCCACCACCTCCTCCGCCGCCACCTCCGCCGCCCCCCTCTTCGGCGACCTCGACCTCTCAAAACCAGAAGCCGTTCTTCAACCACTCGGCGCCTAGGACGTAACTCGCGTAGAGACTAGCTCCGTTGCAAGGTCTTTTATAATTAAAGGAAGCCGAGCTCTTCTAGGCCAGGAAGTCCGGGTCTCCCTGGGGGTTTCGAGGGTCTCTCAGGGTCTCCAAACGCCTCGAAAGAGTCGAGATGTCGGTCGTGGTTGAAACCAGCCAGGCTTCTTCTCGAGGTCGCCAACTTCCCGAGGACTCTGGAACGCATCCTCAGGGGGTCCATCCGACGAGATGGAGACGCACGCCGCGGACCTCGCCAAATTCCAGGTCGCCGGTAAATCCGGCTTGCTGGGAAAGATGTGCCCTCGGTATCGAAGAGGCTCGCAGTCCTCAATTTCGGGAGTGCAACGCGGATTCGACGTGGCCTAAGACGTCGTTTGGGATGGTCGCTACGAGCACGCGTACTTCCGGGTCTGATCCTGGTTAAATCGGCCGTTGGCGGTTCCAAGGGACGCTCTTTTTATACCGCGGTCGTCGTATGGTGCCCCTAACGCGTTAAACGTCTAGCTTTAGTTGAATTTTGATATATAAGAACGAAATGTGAACGGGGAACGGTCCCTGACTCGGTCCTCCAGAGTTCCACTATACATATATATATACACACAGAAATATATATATATATATATATATACATCGCGTACAATGTGCATGGTCGAACCTGCGTTGTCCATCCCGTCTCTGTAAATACTATTTGCATATATGCATAATGTAATAGTACACGAAGTTATGTATTTAACCATAGTTGCTGTAGGACGATATCGATAGGATGGTTCCGTACGTGACGTAGATAAAAGGATGATGTCGCGCTCTGTCTAAAGGACGGCGCACCCATCGCGCCGGGACTCCCGATATATTTTATATCTCATTGTAAAATGCCCGACGATTAGTTATGTAATAAATGGTACACGTTGACACTTCGTTTGGTCGCTCCGAATCGGGCAAGCGATCGGGCAGGGGAGTCGTTTGTTTCGGGCGTTGTTTTCTGCGCGGAAGCTCGCCGTGGGGGAACGAATCAAAAGGGAATTATGGAATGTTTTCGGGAACTCTTAGAGACCGCGAAGACTCAACGATTTAAATTAAACGTGTTCTATTTCTTAAACGGCGCTTCTACTCGCTCGACCCGGCGCGGACGTTCTCGAGAGAGGCGATTTACAGCTCTCGAGAGAGAGATACCGGCGTTCGGTGAAAGTTAAACTCCCTTTATCGGCGAGCCGGCGAGTCGAGGCATTTTTTTTTCTTTTTTACATTGAGGGTAAAAACTGGGATTTTAATTTTTCTGTAACGGAAAGGACCGGCGCTCGTCCCTGAAGGGGTCGATGGCTCGACTATCCGTGTCGGTTCTCGACGACGATTTTCATCGTGCGTGCAAGTTTTCTTTACGAAGTGCGGAAGTTGGACTTTTTTATTTTGCATAATTAAGTAGAGGATATACGAGAAGCTCTATATATATNATATACTTCTGTTATGTCTAAAGGCGCGCCGAGGAGGGTGGAAAAGAAATGCGTAGCAGGGAAATTCTTTAACGGGAGCGCGAGAAATTTTAAGCTTAACACTCAAGCAAGTACAAATCTCGCAGAGCGATACCGAGTAAGGGTGTTAGGGACGTTGAAAACGTAGGGCGACGATAAACAACGCGATGAAACTGGACGGAAATAATGTAACGTGTCGCAATGGCGAAAACCGAGCACGCTTATGAGACCATCGCGAGGAGAGGTCTTCGGGGCTCTGGGGTGGTTTTTATGTAATAGCTTTTTCGCGCCATTGACTCACTGTACCCGGTGATGAAACGGGACGAGCCCGATTAGCCAATCGCGTGCGAGTATCCGTATGACGTACTAATAACTGGCCAGTGGCGTAGACCTTAGGAGGAATTTTAATACACCGGGCTCTGGGACCTCTCAAATCGATTTCTTCGCTTCTTTGAGATGCGATTCCCTCACGATCGACGTATGTCCTGTAATGCGAGGAACAACCCCTGCCTTCCTTTTTAACGGGATGTGAAAGTGGCATCTGAGGGGATTATGACCGAATCGTATCAAACTTTGCCACATAAATGTGGAGGCGATAGGGTAGGTCCTGACGCCCATGAAATACAAAATTCGTAGAGAGGAAAATTTTCAAGTGTCTATAAAGAAATTTTAGAAAATTAGAATTTTCATGGACTTCGGGATCTTCCTTATTGCATCTATATTCTCATTGTAAAGTTTGAAACTGTTCGAGACATCCTGTTTGGAGAATGATTTCATAAACGTAACCTCTTTGGCACCACTTTCACGTCGCCTTAGGGGGATATGAAAGTGTCATATATACATACCAAAAAGTGAAAATATAAAACTTTTCTCAAAATTGGGTGCACCGAATCATTCGAAATTTCATCACGCGATAGGCCCTAGGGAAGAACGCGATGCTCGTGAAATTTGATTTTTCGAAAAAAATTTCTATTTATTTCGGAGAAGAACCAAAAGACTTTTTTTCTTTTTCCCGAAAAATGAAGTTTCACGAACATCGCGTTCTTCCTTAGGGTCTCCATAATTAGGTGTTAAGGTTTCAGATTATTCGGTGCGCCCAGTTTGGAGAAAAGTTGTATGAATATCTTCACGTTTTGATGTGTATAGATAATGATGACCTTTTCATATCACCTTAACGACTCAGGCTCAAATGCCACCGATAGCTCACGGCCCAGCGAACGAAAGGAACGCGTCGAGGGATTTTACAATTTTCGCCACTCTCGCACAGAGAGACGCACATCGAGAGTCCTCGTTACGTACAAGGGAATTCATTTTTACACGCGTTTTTGGCCGACTTATTCCGTACGTGTACATCCTTATTTCGCTAACTAGAATAGGAAAACGACTGCCGAGCGTGTGCGGAGGTTTGCGGGCAATTCTGGTCGGTTGAAGTTCAATTGGTTGAAGTTCCTATTTTGATTTTTTCTTTTTCCCTGTTAATTTGGTATCGTCTCGAGCGCTGGCACTTCGTAGCCAGTTCTCGGGTTGTAATTGTAACGGGATTGCTGGTAAATTGGGCCTCGAAATTCGAATTTTCGTCCTAAGTCGGCGTCGTATGTCTGCTCAAAGTATCTCTTGATCTTTCTGGCTGTTCTTTTGAGATCCTCGCCTGTGGTAGCGAACTTCACCGTTAAGTTGCGATCGCCGTTGCGGCGTTATCGTTAACGATTATCTAGAGGCACGCCGTTCGGTGCAAGTCAGCTACATTACGGTAGATCGTTTAATCGGTACGCAGATCATGACGAGATACGGGAAGGCTTTTGTATATGTGTACATATTTAAGTAAGGTATACGAAGTGTGTGTACACGTGAAACATCGTTATCGCAGTCTCTCGGCCAGTCGAGCCTCCTTCGGCACTAACTTTCGTTAGGAGTAATTCAATAATTCACGGTCGTCCGGACTTGTTCGCTGCAGGACGTTTGTAAGAACCGACATAATTGAGAAATGAATCTTAACTACTCGAAATATCGACCTAACCACGTAATAGGTGGCGCCGTTTCTTCATGCACCAGCAATGTTTAAGGGACACCTAAACTTGGCGGGATGTAACTTCTTAATGTAGATGATTTATCGAAAGGTGGACGTTTAATAAAAGATAATTGATTCCAAAGTATTAGGTAGAGGGGACGAACAAGGTACGGCGGAATTCGAGGAGCTCATCGGTCGCGTTACCGTGTTTGTTCTCTCTTTTATTCCGGTGGAACTTCATTTTGCGCGACAAGAGATAAAGGAAATAAGGAGGCCTTGAATCATAAATGTCCGCTAATTTACATTTACCTTCTTATCGTATCAGGTTTACGGAATGGCACCCTCGAAAACGAGGGAAAACGTTCCTTAGAGCGGTACTGCGCGTAAAATATTCACTGATTTAATCTCTTCGATATTACGTTGAATAAATATTTATAAGTTTAATGTTAAATTCAGGTAACACTGACTTTATCGTTAATTTTAATCTGCTACAGTGGCTTTAATAGATAGGCAATTTATTTGTTACGTCCTACGCCTCGAGGTGGTAACCGACAATGAATAATCAATATTCTATTCCTGCGTGAATGTTACTTTAAAATTCGAAACTGTACAAAAATCACAAAATTCAAAATTGTAACTGTTATACCCTGGGCTCGCAGAATGAAAATCTTAATAATAACCAACGAAAAATTATCAGTTTTCTTTTCCTCATTGATTAACAACTTCATAAGGTGTTCGTTAAAATACCTATCGGCTCGACGACTCTTCCATATATTCGTCGATTTACTTGGATAACTCGTTGCTCCTAATAAGTGAAAATTACAAAATTTCGATTAAACGGAACGGAGTAAAGTTATTTAATACGATGTTTCGAGATATGGGCGATAAAACATATTCCATTAAATGCGGCCAACTGAACTGCGAATATAGTTAATAAAAATATGTGGAGTCTGGAAAGGGCACTAGCATTCGATAGAATTTTTGAAGCTGCAAAATGGCGGCGTATACCGTAACGATAACGAAGCAAAGGCAAAGGAGGCGTATCGACGACTCGTTGAGGCCGTTCTGCAGGGATTTCGGACGTCCGTGAAAGTCTGAATTGATCGAGTATCGATCAGCCACGACCCGTCAGGTCCTACAAACAAAATTCGAAATGTCGATAGGTGTATTTTGTAATAAAGGTGTATACTAGCGTAAGCTGCAAATGCCTCGTTGCCTTGCGTGGCGACATCGACGTGTGTACAGCTTACTCCATTTGCCACGAGTATACAGTGAACTTGTAAATAATTTTTGTAAGATAAACGTAAGTGGTAGCTCTTGGGAAATCGCGTCTCCCGTGGATAGTATTTCAAAGGAGAAGCGTGACGTATGCAGTCGCTTGGTCACTTCTACCCCTAATTATCCGCTGTACAATTCTCTTAGAATCCCGCCTCTGTCACTGTATAATGGTATATACATATATATTCCGCTAGGGATCGAGTTTAATATCGAGAGAGCGAGAGAGGTTTCGAATATGAAGTTGGAATAATCGTTTCGGTGTTGTAAATAAGACGGATTCTAGCTTACGTCACTACCGCCACCTACTTATACATAGAAAACGCATATATAAATATAAATATATATACACGCATACACCCACACACGTATATACTCAAATCTAAGATAGTTTCAGAATACATAATTTTTTATTTGCGATTCGCTGTTACATGTATGTGCTTAGATATAGCCAGGTTACATTGTGCCCCCGTGGCACGATAGATTTATTCATACTTATCGGTAAATGTAATGAGTTCTTCGATATCAAACATTAAATATTACGTATAGTATGGCGTAACGTGTAAAGAGCTCATATTTAGGCATACATGAAATTTAATAAAACGGATTACATTTTATGAATTTAAAATGCTGCTCGCACAATTACTCGGCTACCTTCGTATGTCCTTCCTCTACGATTTGATGGCGATAATTCGAAGGCGGAATAATTCCGTTTGGTCATTCGTTGCCGTCTAATTTTTCTTAAAATAGGGCAACGCGCTATTTTATGGTATTTTCAATTTAATGGACCCGCAAGTGCCACTATTATTGACAGTAGAGCCATCGCTGACTTATCTTCACCATTTACCACTTGAAGCTAATCTGGGCCATGGAATTTAGTCGAATAAGTACGTGGGACTCGTAATAGAGTGCGCTTTAGCTAAATGAAGTACTTATCTTAACTTGTTCTAATTTCCTGATCCGAAATTATTCCCATTCGTTCTCAGTATCTACCGTCAAGTTGCTCTGGTATAACTTAGCCGTGTTAAAAGTGCGCTAACTGTCGTGGAAATATTGCGGCTCGTAAAGACAGTCATAAATTTCTCCGATCCCAAGACGGGATGTTCTTATCTCGAATTTCATGTCAACAATGTAACCGTCTTAGTTAAATTTCTTATGCAATGATAATAATGGAAAGACGTAGATATTCTCTGATAAGACCTGAAACAATAACAATACAGTTGTACATTTCTACGTGGGATGGATTAAATGATTAAATTCCTTATGCAACGTTAATAACAGGACGTGAATGTTCACTGACAGAATCTGGAATTGTGTCAAATAGATGTTAAATTTCTAAACTGTTGAAATGTCGACTAAATAACGAGATCACCAGGTTACAACGGTATCGTTGAAATTTGCAGAAATTACGTCTTTACAATAGAAACATGTTGACTCATGAAGGCGTAGAACGAATGGTAATTTTCCTATAAAGCGTTTAATGTTATCTGGACAACCTAAACAAATCGGTTTGCCAATTATCGACAGCCCCAGTGCCAGAAAAATTCTCCTCTCGTCGATAAAATTTATCTTCCATCTTTGAAACAGCGATTAGGACCCGATGAAGATAATTTCGGTCGGACTTTCATCGACAAGTGATGTAATGGTCAATGGTAATGAAATTATATCGATGACAAGGTGACCCAGAAAGATCTTATTAATTTTAGCCGATCACCTTGTTTTTTAAACCGCTTTATTTTATTTAACGTCATCCCGGTCATTTTGGAGTCAGTCAGACCTGAAGCGATTTTTATTATAACATTTATAAGACTAAAACGCCTACAAATTTTTGCAATTTATAAGCAGATCCCTTAGTTACGAAGTAGTGACGTAGCAATAAAACGCTACATTAAGTTTCGTAGGGGAATTCAAACGAGACTTGAAAAATATCCATATCCACAAATACGTGACTTGAAAATCGCCATTTGAGTTGTGAAGGATCAGGGTGGTTCGAAAGTGGCGTCAAAGAAGACTCGTTTATAAAACCTTTTTCCAAACTGGGTCTACCGAATAGTTTCACATTTTTCAACCTAATTATGAAGGCTTTAAGGAAGGTCCTAACACCCACGACGTGTTTAAAAAATTTCTCATAAAAATGAGATTTCACGAGAATCAGGACCTTCCTTTCAGCCTCCTTATTCGTATCGTAGAGGCTGGCAACGATTCGGTATCCCCAGTTCGGAGAAAAGTTTGACGAACGATTGACCCCTCGGATGCCACTTTTACGACCCCTCGAAAAATCAGTCGAAATGAGAAAATGACAATATTCCCGGGCCCCGGCGTGGCCGGTTAGAGTTAAACGGCATCTCCGGCAGGGGCAATGGGAGCGTCATAGGCGGCGCGGATCCAGTCGGTCGGTGCAGACTGCAACACGTCGCAACAGGCAGAAGCAAGCCGAAGCGGGCAGAAGCAACGGGCACAGGGCGGCCCAGCGACAGTTATCCACGATTATCCAGTCCGGTCGCGGCTTCGGCCGGCCACGGTTGCCGGGGCCGGCGGGGCGAGCGGGGGGAGCGAAGCTCGCGCGCGGCGGCGTCGCGTCGCGACGAGAAGCCCGTTCGAATCTTTGATTTTTCAGCGCCCACGCGCGCAGCGCCGTCCGTGCCTCCCCATTGGTCGGCCGGCGTGACGTCACGGCCGATAAGGGGCTCCAATTGGCTTAAGCCCCCGGAGCCGGGCGTCTGCTGTGACAGTCGAGCGAGTGGCGTCCGACGCGACGATCAGCAGGCCATGCAATGTCCTTACCGACCCGGACTCAGCTGGACGCAACAGCTGTAGAGAATTTCCGAGAGTACCTGCGGATCCCGTCGGTCCACCCGGACGTCGAATACGGTAAGAGAGCCCTGCCCGTTCGCCGTTCAGGCATCTCGAGACGCGGAGAATCCCGAGGAGAACCGGCCCGGAGCCGGCCGCTCGGCCGAGCAGATCGGAAAATCGCGGACGTGTCGCGGCCGGCCCTCGCGCGACGAAACGGGGTCGCTCAACGACGCGCTTCCTCGTTCGCCCAATTAATTCCTGATTGCCGGCCGACGCGCCGGCGGCCTCGCTCGTCGCGACTCGGAGGGACGGGGATCGAGCCGGGGCTCGGGAAAAATTGGCCGTCCCTCGGCGGGCCCGGCGTGACGCCGAAAAACGACGCAGCGTCGGAGACGCTATCCAGCCATTGTCTTGCCCCACCCTGTGTGGCGGCCGTTATTTCTATTTTTATGATTTTCCACCGCGAGGCTCGGGTTGCCGAGGCCTTGCATGGGTACTAGGGGGTGGACGGACGTTTTTTCGATTTTTCTCCGCCCCCGGATTTCTCACGTCCCGGGAAATTGGAGCTTGCCTCGAGGCTCGCGCGTCTACGCCGCGGCGTTTCTTGCGACCGCTTGCCACCGGAAAGGTTTTTCGCCGCTTCGTGTTGCATAAGTTCGTTCTTTTCCTCGCTTTTATTGTCGCCGAGCCTAAAATCCTTGTTACTCGTTGCATCGGTTCTCTATTACGCGTTACCTGGGTGGCGCCGACTGGTTCAAGGCTTCTGTCTCCTCAAAGTGGGAGGATATTTTTTTTTTTTACCCGGCTAGATTACGTTCTCGTATTCGTGTAAAACTAGCCGCTTTGATCGGGACACCGAAGAGGTTATTATTAGTTTCTATTGGACATTTTTCACGGAATTGTTCCTAGCACAACTTTTGATCACAAGAACCGATAGAAGAAGGATCTTGGTGTTACTTAGATCCCAGAATTTCTCAAACTTGTAATGGCTAATTATGTAATCGTTTCTATTTGAATTGACCTATTGACGTTATTATGGCAAGTAATTGTATCATTTTACTATGGAAATGTAGCAAGGCATAGTTTTGGTTTTCTGGACTTCTTGATAATGGCCGTTGTTTAAAAAATGTATTTTGAAACCAAAGCATCTTTATGGATTGGTTTTTTTCTCCTACATGGTTAAATTATAAATTTTGTAATATCATTCGAATTCAGTTGCAAAGTATGAAATGTTTCTAGTTTGGGTTAGATTTTTTCCAAGTGTTTTATTAACCCTTTGCGGTCGTATGTCTACTCTCAGCCACCAAAATCCTCTTGATCTTGGGAAAATGCGACCGCAAAGGGTTAATTCCTGTCGTTGTTGATATTTTCGAGATTTTTGCTTCTGAAATGTACTTTAAAATACTGAAATTCTTCTGTGAAACGAATATAACTGTCTATTTTTTCAGATGGGTGCGTTACATTCTTACGGAAGCAAGCTAAATCCCTCGACTTACCTCTACGGATATATCATGTCGCCCCCGGCAAGCCAGTTGTGGTTATCACATGGGAAGGCACCGCTCCCGAGGAACCAGCCATTCTCCTGAATAGCCACATGGATGTCGTACCAGTTTTTCCTGTAAGCACGTTATCTTTAATGATTAATATTCAATATTCAATATTTTTTAGAAGCAAAACATATCATCCCCCAGGTTGCACATTATACAGAACTGATAACATGGCTTAAATTTAATACCATTAACGCTGTACTGTGTCAACCTTAATTCTTGTATCGAATCGGAAATCCAATGTAAAATATAAAAAAAATATGTGTATTAAAAAGAGATGAAACAATCTCAATCATTAGAATGGTTCCTTCAATGGCACTGAACATGAAAGTATATTGCAAATTTCATACCCATATCAAGGGATTTTTAGTTTATACAAATAATGCTAGAATATGAAGTAATAATGAAATGTTTTAAACAGAATGATTGGACTCATCCCCCATTTGGTGCCGAAATGGATGAGAAAGAAAACATTTATGCCCGTGGCAGTCAGGACATGAAATGTGTTGGTATTCAATATCTGGAAGCAATTCGTCGTTTTAAACTTGAAAAAAAACGATTTAAAAGAACCATCCATGTTTCATTTGTGCCAGAAGAAGAAGTCGGAGGAACTCCAGGCATGAAAGAATTTGTTCATACAAAAGATTTCAAATCACTCAATGTTGGATTTTCATTAGACGAAGGTGCTGCATCACCTACTGAAAACTTTTACCTGTTTTATGGCGAAAGATCAATATGGCACGTATGGATCACGTGTCCTGGCACACCTGGCCATGGTTCTATCATGTTCGACAACACAGCTGGAGAAAAGATAAAACATATCATCGATCGATTTATGAATTTTCGAGCTAAGGAGAAAGCAAAACTTGAAGACCCCAAAGTTAAATTGGGTGATGTCACATCCATAAATCTTACACAGCTTCGAGTAAGTATCAAAATTGGCGTTCAAAGATGAAGAACATTCTAGCCTAGTTTTAATGATATGAACGTACCAGTTGAATTAAAATTACTTTAAAGCTGTGCATCAAACTATTCTATAGTAATGTACAGATATTTAACTTACACTTTATTTGGTAAAATTTCCTTTTTTTATGTCTGAACATTGGAATTTTTAGACTGGTAAGTACACACTTTTAACATAAGTAGCGCTAGATCTTTTTCCTTCATTATATAAACCGTTTTCATATCTCTTTCTAAGCATAAATGCTATTCTCTTAATAATTCATTAAACTTCTAATTCTGTGAAGAACCCCAGTCATCTTATTGATCCATATTTACCTTGTATAAATTCATTATCATTGAGGTATATTAAAAATAGATTTGATGGTCCATAAATTAATTGACTACAATTTTTCAGGGAGGTGTGCAGATGAACGTGTTACCTGATAACGTATCAGTTGCATTTGATATACGCCTTGCAACAACAGTAAATCACAAGGAATTTGAAGAAACAATCAGAGGGTGGTGCAAGGAAGCAGGAGAAGGAGTGAGCTTGAAATTTGAACAAAAGAACAATCAAATAGAAAATACAAAATTGGACAACAGCAATCCATTCTGGACCGCATTAAAAAAAGCTTGCGATTCTATTAATGTCAATTTAGAAACTGGTATCTTTCCAGGAGGAACTGATAGCCGTTTCGTGCGACTGGTAAGTGTCCATTTTGTCATTTAATTGTCAGTATCCATTATCCATTAATTGATACATACAGAATTTAAATTTAACTACTTTTAACAATTGTTAATAATCTTTACAGGTTGGCATACCAGCTATTGGTTTCTCTCCGATGAATAATACTCCTATTCTTCTGCACTGTAATGATGAATTCTTGAACAAGGACATATTTTTACGTGGCATCGAAATTTATCAGAAAATAATACCAGCTGTGGCTAGTGCTTGAATAGAAAGAAATTAAAAACGTACACGAAGAATATATTTTCACCGGTGAAGTACAAGAATTTAATTAATCAAAAGAGATATAGTAGAGTAAATCTGCTAGCAACGTTTATGGAACGTTGTATGTTAATCGTATGTGCAACAGTCAATGTACATGTCTATAAGCTTTATGCACGCATGAGAATGTGTACAAATATTATAAAAAGAGAGGGTCAAGGGAATCTATAATAGTTAGATGGAGAATATGAGGTATTAAGAATGAAGGAACACCATACGATGGCTGCTACGAGTTAAGAAGACAGAACTTCCTTCTAAAACATTCCTTGAACTCTGAAAGAAGATTAAAAAGAGAATATATGTGGAATTAAATATTTCTTAAATTGATATTGCGGTTGTGCCAATGCAGTTGATAAAGGAGCATACATTTGTGTATTATTTGAGTGGTTTATGTTAAAACTGCAAGCTAGAGTAAATCTAAGTTACCGTCACGAAGACTGAAGAAAAGAGATATATTTTTCAGAAATATAAAGACAAAACTGGATGTCTTACAGTAAAACGTTGATATAACCGTGAATGGGATAAGAGTAAAGAGACGATAACTCCTGTCGTGTCATCGATATCGTATACATGAAACATATGTACGATTACATCGGTGAATATTTCAACGCATGTAGCCCGTGAACCAAAAGATGGAAGTAGATTCTAGAAAGAATATGATTTACTCCTAGTACCACTAAATGAGGCAAACCAATTGGATGATTTCCGAAAAACAACAAAATATTCTCCGATGCGACGTTCCTGCATAATCTGGTACTATTTCGTGCCATGAAAGAAGTCTTACAACACAAGACTATCAACTAGGAACCACAATAGCCATGTGATTTACGGGAGTGAAGAAGCATAAACACGGGATTGCGTACTTCCAAAACAAGGAGTCAAGTGCAAGCCTGGAGCATCGGTATCTTGGAAGGAGGTCTTCCAATTTCGTCAACATCCACATAGATAAATTCAGTGAGCGTTATAGCGAGAAAGTAATTTATATATACAAAGATAATGTTACCTAAAAGTGGTTACGGAAATATACAAAAAGAATCGCAGTGGTGGAAGGCTCAATTGACCCCAGCAGTACAGGGATCCTGCTCCGTGACTGGGTGAGAAATTGCACAAAAAATAAAAAAATATTAGAAAAAAAAATAAGAAAGGAAAAATCGGTCACGACATCCGAGTGACCGTTCTTACCGGAGGAGACGTCTCGAGAGGTGACAGTGCCGCGCGAAATCTTCTCCACCGCGTTAAGGAGACGTGCTCGGACTCGTGCGTGTAGCCTGTGTGTGTACGTGTGCATTCCCGCCATCATCGCGCGTAGTGGCCTGTCCCGAGTGGGGCACCCTGCCACCCCTACCCCCCCGGGGCCATTGGACTCGTCCGACGTTTCGACGCTTCCCCGTGCTCGTCTTCTCTCCCGAAATCCCGAGATTGCGAGAGATACCGGGCGAAAGGGACGCGCCGTCGCGCGGGCGAGGGATCGCCGGTGTTCGGGAGTCAAAATAATGCGGGGTTACCGCGTAAACTGTCAGTTTCCACGCGGGGCTCGGGCCGCGGCCATTTTGAAGCGGGTAAGGTAGGGAGGTGGGGGCACGCGCTTAGCCTCGTCGCCGCCGCTCAGCCCCTCCGCTCGGTCTCGGCCGTCAGACCGCCGCCGTACGGTGCCCCGTGTACCTTGTGCTCGCGCCTCTTTTACCGCGCAGGCGTGTATTTTTCACCGGCTACTCGCGTGCCCCGCGAGTGACGTCCGCGGCCAGTGGCATATCTCGAGCTCGGTCCCTCCGGGCGGCTCTCTCCTTTGTCGGCCATGTGCATTGGGTGTGCAATTTAAAATGTCCTCGCACCTCGCCGCGGCCGACCAATAGCGCGCCGGCCCCACCGGTCACGTGATCCAACCGGGCCAATCGGCCATACGGGATTTGAAATCGTGCGTGGTCTTTGTTCACGGCTCGGCCCGTCAACGTTGCTCCTCAGTTCCGTGAACGGGGGCCCCGTGTCGGTGTCCGTCTATACATGGTCGCTGCCCGAAATCGCATTTATTCCACGTAAATACATATATGTGTGAGACCGGTGCGTGGACACGAGGACGACGTAACCCGAGGCTCGTCGTATACACGGTAGGTGACCTCGAGCGCGGCTCCTCCACGAGCCTACCCGCGAATAACACCCGCGCCGAGGGAAACGTCTCGCCGCCGCCGCCGTCGCGTCGGGTCGCCCGAGACTTCCCGTAGATGCTTCCCTGTCACCGCGTCGCGCTGACGCGGCCCGACGGCGACGACGCGGCCGACCCGGTATTTTTAGACCGCGTGCCCGCGACATGTCTTTCTCTCTCTCTCTTTCATTCTCCCTTGTTCTGTCTCGCTCCCCATTATGCGCGCGCGCACGGGATCCCGCGCTCCGCCGACGGACCCTAACAAAGGCCCCGGGCTCTCTCGGCCTTGCCGATCCTCCCAAAACCCGAACCCCGGTCGACGTCGCCGAGCCTCCTTCGGGCCTCTCCCATTGTCCGCTCAGACGCCCCCCCATAAACCCCGTGCTGATTTCCCCTCCCCCGAAACCTGCCGAAATGCCCCGCACCCAAGTTCCCGGAACTCGGCCGGCCCCCTTAATCCCGGGTCGTCCGAAAATTCTGCCGGCTAATCCTCCGATTTCTAGACAGCTGCATGCCGGGCATGTTTTGAGCCGCCATGTTGTTTCCCCGTTTACGCGTTGATTAGCTTTTCGAGCATGCGGTGTCCTTTGATCTTTTGCCGTTCGTTACGTACGATGGAAAATTCGCAATCGCGGGTCGCTTGAATAATCAACGGGGGAAATTGGGCCGTTCGTTCTCTGGTGCGGGGTAAATTAAAATGGCCGATGTGTTTATTACTCGCTTTTAAGTCCAGCGTGGAAAAGATTTAGTTTAGAGGGGGAAATCCCGAAATGTGGGAATTGCTGGACGGGCTCTTATTTTTCATTTGTTGGGTTAAGTCGTGTATCTGGTTGGATGGTTTATTTAATGATGCAGATTTCTAGGCTCAATCGTGATCGTTTACGCGAATCTAGATGTAGATGTGCTTTCTTGGCGAGGAAATGGAGATACTATTGACACGAGACGTGATCGATGATGCGGACATATGACGTAGGAGAAAACCGCGAACTTGAATGAACTTTGTGTTGTCTGTTTTTCTTCATTTTTTTTTCTTTCTCCCTCCCTCCCTCTCTTTCCTTGCCGGGGCATCGGGGGAACAATTGACACGCGAGAAAGTAAACGTACTCCGAAGCCGATTTCCGATCGCTTCGGAAGTTCGCTTCTTCGGCGCTTGATGCGATTAGGGTTTTGCTTTCTTGTAAAAAACGCCATTCAATTCTCGCCGATTAAATCGTCCAGTTACGCTGTCCTCTTTCGACTTATTATTTTCTTCTTTCTTTCAGGGTTTTTCTTTTTATGTTTTATTTTTCTTTTCAGTTCGCCACGTGGTAAAAATTTCACGGTCTTGCAGTATCGGATTTTGTTTGTTTACTTCTTACATGTCGCGATTGGAGTTTTATCGGAGTAGCTTACAAGGAGATAAGGCACTCCCAAGGACGCGATTGTAAAATTACCGGTATGGGTCGTAATGATTCATTTCTGTCCTATGAATGGTAATCCATTATTTTTATTTTTATTTTTTCTCCTTTTCTTGTAATTTTTAATGGAAAATTCGCGCAGGAGGGTACAAACTCTAGGGGAGAAATATCGCGGCATGTAATGATAAGTGCGCCAGTCGGAGACTGATACTATAATATTAATTGTTTAGGGTCGTTTGGAGGTATTTAATCTTGGTTTAACAAATTTTTGACGTTCTTCCTATATATCACAAGGAAAATAAGATGGACGAAGAGTATCGCGTGCATCGCGGGCGAAAGATCATTTTGACCTGGGCGCCTTTGATACACGGTATACTATTTTTTTTTTTCTCTGTTTTTCGTGGGAACACCGATGACAAGTGACGGCCTCGCAACGACGAGGAGACTGACTTGATTCCGACGACTTTCAAGAGGCGACTAAGCTCGGCTTTCGCGCCCTGAAGTCGGCCGCGGTTACTCGAATAGCTCGAAATAGCGACCCATCGGGCAGCCTCGCCCTAACCTCAACGTTTTCTTCCATTCCTGGGGAAATAATATTTACAACTAAACTACCACCGAATGATCTATGACACGCCGTTCGTTAAGATATCTCGCGAGAATCTGCCATTCTACATCGACTGCTGCCCATTTTTTTTTTTTTTAATTTAATTCCCAAATGACGTCGTTATTTCGACGAACCCTGATTTTCGAGCCACCTTTGCCGCGCCTACGATGCGCGAGGTAACTTCTCGTCCACGCCGCATGATTTGTTTGTACTCAAGAGTTAAAAGTATTACGCGCTCGTTACGTCAGATGCTCCCCTCCCTCCCGCCGCTGTTGCCCCTTTCTCGTTCATTCTGCGGAGCGCGCATTGTCGCGCGCGGCCCGCGCAACCCACGGCCGAGGCGCGTAGCGACATTCACCGAGCGAGTGGGAGCGAGCGAGAGCGAGGCGCCGCGCCGCGAGGGGGAGCGAGACACTAGAGGGGGGCGAGGCGCCGCCGGGAACGAGAGCGCCGCGTAACGGGCGCATCGAACGTAAATAAACATTTCGTACGCGCGCGACACCGTCCGCTGCCCCGCACCTCTCTTAGTCTGTTCCGTACCGACTGGAAAGGGACTTGTAACAGACAATGAGCCGATGTTGCATTGATACCAAGAAACTCGTGTCGAATGATGAATTTTTTTTTTCTTTTCCGATCCTAGAAATATATTGGGAGAAATTAATTTCGCCAATGAAGTGCTCCCTTATCCGCTTAAGAGTCGGCTTTTAGAGACCTATTTGACGACTCTCGGAATCTTCCGGCTCACTTTTGGACATCGAAATCGCTATTATTTTTTGTATTAAATTTCGTCGAGCCCTCAGCAAGACAATTGGCCGAGTTCGATGGCCATTCATAAATCGGTCTAAGGTGTTCGGGGATTGGCTCGATTTCGGTTTTCGAATTCGAGAGAGAGATTTATTGTTGGAACTTATCGGCCGCGCGAAATCCGACTAGTTTTACAGCTAGGTACCTTTTACGCGCTTCATTTAGATAAACCCGATTGGGAAGACAGGGACCGAGGTCGTTTGTAAGGACAAATTTCGGGGAAGGGGTATGGAAAATGCAGGTCATTAAAGGGTCTCACACCTCCTGTAAACGATTACCTGGGGGCAATTAGAGGCCTACTCGGGTCGGCCTATTGTCGAGGTCGGAAAAGGTCGCCATTATTCGGGGACCGATTCATAGACTACGGGAATTTCGGCTCGTAGCGAAGCTACCTGTCGATGAATATTCATTGTGTCCGCCGGTAGAGGACCGTTTTGATGGGAATTCAAATCCGATGTATTGCCTCCTCCTCCTTCTCCTCCTTCGGGCCTGGACTTATTAAAACCGAAAACATTATTTTCAAGCTTTGCCAGTCCTAAACGGTCGCTCTTCGAGGGCGCTCGTTGCGACGCTCGTCTCTTGTCCCATTCATCCCCCGAGTGTCGTCGCAAGAGTCGGAAGGTAAAGCACAGTGAATATTTATACGCATTTTGACTACCCGTCAATGAATCGGAAAACCGTCCACCGAGTGAAATATTTACTTCCTAAGGGAATTTCATTGATACAGCGATCTGAAGCTTTCTTGACACATGGGAGTTCCTTGGTTCGAGTAAAATTGATTTTGCAATAATCATTAGCGTTGCAATCCAAACGACACGGTGAACGAATATCAGGCGCAAAATTAAATGAAATGAAATAATTATGCGAAATAAATTTTGCACGAAATTGGTCTCGAGTATTGAAAATATTAATGGCTGTTGTATATTTTTAATAGAGTGTTACGTTGAACTCGAACTACTTAGTATTTTCAATATAAAAGGATTAATGGGGAAGAAATGTTGCTTCGAGTTGATGCAAGAACGAGTTCACCGGTGACTGATTTAAATTTCAGTTTGTTGTAATATTCATTTTGTCGAAGTACTTCGATCTTGTAGGTGAATCAACTTTTCATTCCAACGCTTTTCTGCACGGAAAATGTAACGCCAATGGATTTTGCAAGGTTGAGCTTAGGAAAATGAGGTATTCTTTGTAATTCGCCTTAATTTCATTCAATCAGTAAAGATTCAGTTTACGCAAAAATTAATTTTTCTTTCCTCGAGGAAGTGATTCTTTCGCTCGGTGTAATCGTACCGCACGAGGTTCGCTTTATATCGCCTACTCGAATAATAAAATGTTATCAACGAGATGAATAATTCATGTTGATATAAATTTAAATATGCATTGAAATGTGCCTAGAAACAAAAATTCCTTTGAAGACATTTTCCTTTGTATCATTTTGTGTGCTGGCAGCGATGTGAGATTTTGAAAATCCTCTGATAAGGAGCACGGAATTGGTAGACGAGAAGAAAGGAGGTGAGGCGGGAAGGAAAGGGGAAAAGAAATCGTAACGCGTCGTGTAATGTATTAGATAATCCGTAGTACTCGTATTGACCGCCTCTATCGGTTACACTCGTTTCACGCCCGATAAGGCCGACGCATTCACCGGTGATAACGGCCTCCAGTGATACCGGATATTTAGTGCACGCGGTGAATGGTCGCACTCTTCGAGTAGACCGTTTCCCGGACAATTTCCGTCGAGTTTCCTCCCTGGTTCGATATTCCTTATCACGGATGTCCCTCTAAAGTGTCGATAACTATTCGTAACTCGAAATACGTTTTATTTATTTTTTTCTTCAGGTAGGTAAAATGCTTTTCGTTTGCCTACTGTAAGCCTTGACGTCGCAAGTGTCGTAAGAAAAGCGTACGAATTAATATTAATATCAATATTAATTAATATTCACTTTCCGTTAATTGAAATGCATGACTAAGTCAGTGGATTTTTAACCTCTGTTCCACATACTTTCTTGCATATATTTGCGTATTTTATATTCTGTAGTTTTATATATATATATAAAGACATATTATGTACATAATGACGAACGTTTGTATGCGCGCGATGAACTCGGAATCTACTGGACTTATTTTTACAGGTATGTTTTTTTATGATCTCGCAAAGTGCAT